TTTTTTTTTTTTTTTTTTGTTTTTTCGAGACAGGGTTTCTCTGTGTAGCCCTGGCTGTCCTGGAACTCACTCAGTAGACCAGGCTAGCCTCGAATTCTCGAACTCAGAAATTCGGCTGCCTCTGCCTCCCAAGTACTGGGATTAAAGGCGTGCGCCACCACCGCCTGGCTTACAATTTTATCTTATAAGAGTTAAGATAAAATTTTAAAGCCTGGGACTGGAGAGGTGCTCAGAGGTTTATAGCTCTTGTTGTTCTTGCCAAGGGCCTGAGTTTGATTCCCAGAACCCACATGGTGGTTCACAACCATTCATAACTCCAGTTCTAGCAGATCTGGCACATGTGTGGTTACACATACATATATGCAGGCAAAACCTCATATACATAAAGTAAATTTAAAAAGATACTTTGGAGGGCCAGGGATGGTTTTCAATGGTAGAGTGCTTGCCTAGCATGGCCAACATTCTGAATTTGATCTCAAACACCACCAAATAACCAAAAAATAAAAATAAAAGCAAACCAAACAAACTTGTTTGGGGGCTCAGGAAAACTGGATGTACACAGAGCACTGGTCCTAAGGCTGAGTGTGAGGCCCCTGCTTGAAGCCTCTCCTCCTATAACAGGGAGCATGTCCTCCTGCTGTGGAAAACTCATCAATCCCGAGCTTGCCTTGAGCTCAGGACTTGAAATCCCACCAATCCCCTAGAAAACTTGGTCCCCTAGTCCCCAAGAAATCCTATCTAAGCTTGCTTCTCACTCCGGTCTCTGCTACTTCTGGCCCAAGCAGAGGTAGCCTCTATCTTGTGTCTTTCCCAGTAAATCTCGTGTATGAGGCTTGTTGTGTGGTGTGACTTTGTACTATTCCTTGGCTCCAGGCTGCCAGGAAACCTTTCCCTCAGAGCTGTAACACAGAGACTCAGTCTCAAAAAGTAAGTAAAGAAGGGGCTGGAGATGTAGCTCAGTGGTAGCAGGCTCTGCGCTGCCCTCTACTCTCCTGAGGTACCTTTGAGTAGTACTCATCTTTCTCTGGAATCCTTGGCAGATACCCCAAGATGGGGCTCCCAGCAGAGCAGTATTTCTTGCCACGAGAGAATGTCACCACATTTTCTCTGAGGGAACACCAGCCTTCCTGATCTCTAGGCTCTTGGTGTGAGCATCAAGAACCACCACAGCACTGCAAATCCTTTCCTCCGTGGACCGTACACCTTTCCTTCCACAGAAACTAGCAATTTGGAGATTGTGGGCTTCCTTCACTTGTGCCTGTTGAACTGAACTGCTGGAATGTTTAGCAAGGTTCTGGTGCCTACATATGCCTTTCTTTAGTCAATACCACATCTTGCCCATGTGAAGTGAAAGACACAGCAACCATGAGCAAAGACCCCCATTTTTGGATCCTTTCCTGAGGGAGGACCAGACCTCGGGCTGAAGCCCAGTTCCCTGGTCTAGTGTTCACAGAAAACAATTGGAGATGAGGGAATGGACAGTAGCACAAGTGGTGGTGGTAGCTGTCCTATAGACAAACGCCCAGAGCTTGAGGGACCTAGATGCAGCTGCTCCCTGCAGGTATGCCAGCCCAAAGAAGCCTTCAGATGAACAACGTGGCAAAGCTTTTTGTTTTTGTGATACTGAGGATTAGACCTAGGGTTTCAAATGAACTATAACTCAACCCAACACTGTAGGACTTCCAACTGCTGATGCTGATGAAAAGAACAGCCCAAGCCTGAAAAAGCCATTCTCAGGTGGGCCAAGTAAAGAAGACTCAGGAAGCCTCTCCATAGAAATCCAAGTCAGAAGTCTCCAGTAAAACAAAACTCTAAAGTGCCTGGAAGGAAGCAGGCAACTGGTGGGTGTCCATAGGGAAAACCTGATGCCCAACACCAGGCCAGGCCAAATCCCCATAGCCAGTGTCAAGAACCAGTTTTTCTTGTCCCTTGAGTAAGCCCTCCAGAAGGGCACAATATGGGGCAGTAATGTTAAAAATACTAGAGCCATTCTGCCTGTAAGAGTCCCAGTGGGTCACTGTCATAGGGGACCTTCAGCACAGCCCAAGCTCCTGCTCAACAACCTTGTAAGGACACACCAGCTCAGGGAAATATCCTCTGACTCTCCTGGGGAACACTTCACATGAATTAAGTAAAAACGCTCACAACAGTGTGGGGCGAGACACGCCCTTGGTCTAATTATAAACAGATGTTGCAAAGGCTGGTTGTGAGTCTGTTCACAATGCATAAACCCACTGTGTTGTACACACTATGTACCTGCACATCCTTTTTGTAGAACATGCTTCATTTACAGTTTACCTTAAAAAAGCAAAAAAGCTCAGGTCAAAGAAAAGAAGGTGGAAGGCAGAGAGAGGTTAGTGCTTGATCTGTGGGTTACTGAGAGAACTCAAGTTACGAGGCAAATTCCCACCCTCACTCCCAACTCAGCGTCCGGAAGCACTGAAGTGTAAAAAGGAGTGTGCTTACACTGGGCTGCTGAGATTCCAGCAGCAGAAAAAGATGAAAGAGCAGGCGATCAATACAAGAGGTGGGAGGCTGGAGAGAGAAGGCAGAAACCTGGGATGTTGGAACACCTTTAAAGATGATGATTAAAAGAACAGCCCAAGCCTGGAAAAGCTGCCTTTACTAAGAAGGAGTCAGTTCCCTCCCCAACAGCCCATTCCCCAGGAGGGTTAAATGGAGGCCCCAGGAAATCTCTCCACAGTCTTCAGCAGATGCAGAGCTGCTGCTTACCTCCCCTGCAAGGAACAGGTTTGAGGGATGGCCAGCCCAGTTAAGAGAGGCCTGGGACACATCATAGCTGAAACATTACTTTGTGATTCTTTGCGAGGATTCATATTTACCCCACATTCAAAATTAAAGGCCCTTCCGCCCCCAAAGTTACCCCCACTTTTCTGACTAGGGATGTAGTCAGTTGGTAGGGAGCTTGCCTAGCCTGCACGGGACCCTGTGTTCAGTCCCCAGGACTTCACAGACCGGTAGTGGTAGTGCATATCTGTAATCGGAAGGTGGCCGTAGGACGATCAAAACTTCAAGGTCATCCTTTGCTACACTAGGATTTTGAGACCAACCTAGCTATAGGAGAACCTGTCCAGAAAGACATTTTTGCCTCTGTAAATGCTTTCCTTTTTCATTTCAAAAGGAGGGGTAAATCTGTTTCCGCTCTTTACTGGAGTCAATAAATAGGAATGAGTCTCAGCCAGTGTCCTAAGAATCTTCCAGCTAGTTCCTTGCCAGGAGGGGAGGAGGAGCCTCTCGGTGCCCTCAAGTTCCGGACAGCAGGCCCAGACAGACCCACAACGGGTGCCGCTGAGCCTGGAGATCAGCTGCACGGTTACCGCCGCTCCCTCCACCCCGGCCTCCGGTTTCCCATCTCAGTCTCAGGAGCCAGGCACTGAGGACCAACAGGCCTGCGCTGCCTCGGGATTTCCTCTCTTCCTCTCTCGGTCCCGCCGCCCGCTAGTGCTCACCGGCTGGTCCCCAGGGCCGCGTCCCCGAGCGGTAGGGAAGGGACTGGGTTGGGCACCGCGTTCGGCGGGCCCGGGAGGACGACGGTGTTGGCGGCCCCCAGGCCCGCCGCGGGACAGCAGCACCATTTCCGCCGGCTCCGCGCATTGTCGCGCGACGGTCCGGTCCCCAAACGTGCCCGGGCTGTCCATTGCCTGAGCCCGAGAGTTCCGTGCGCGCGGCTCCTGTCAGCAAAGCTACCCTCCTAAATGTAAATGTCCTGAAAGATCTGGTGGATCCAGACTTTGAAGACCAAGGTAGCCGCTTTGTTCTTACCGCCATACCCTGCCTGACCTCCTAAGCCCGCGCCCTCCCGACTGCCTCTCTCCATTGCGGATAGGGTGCGCACCGACCTATGTGGGCCGCATAGTCCGAAAGCAATACCCCTAACAACGCAACAACTAATGTTTATTGACCATCTACTTACAAGCAGAGTTTCTTTCATTGTCCACTAATCCCTCACAACATAATGATCAGGACATATTGAGTTAACCTGGAGGAGTGATGTGTGGTGACCTCAAGGTTCAGAAGACAGTCTGGGTGCCACTCCACACCCTGAAGGGACAAAAGCAAGCACCTTGCTCCTTCCCTCACTGAGATCATGGGTGAGACCCAGATTCTCACTGAGTAAGCGCTACACACACACGCACAAACACACACACACACCTCCTCTTCCAGATCTCATCTGTAAAGTGGGAGGAAAGGCTACTGTTTTCCTGTCTTGAATGGAAGGGTATGAAAGAATCTGTGCTACCCAGAACCATCCCAGCACCCCATCCAAGAGCTCAAAAGTGGTTTGGACCTGAATTAGAGGGAAAACTAAAGACATCTTTCAAAACAGGGAGTGTACAGAAGCGTACTAAGACTCTTGCCAATCAACCCTTGCCATGTGCCCCTACCAGGACAAAGTCAGAACACTTTGGGCTTACCCCTCTCATTTGCCTACTCCTTACCTCTCTGTTGGGCCCAGAGTGCTGTTGATGGCTCAAGAATGGGGATATTTTTGAAGCTGGGGGGAACACTAAGGGACCACACCTTTCCCCTAAACTGCCCAGCCCAGCCTAGCCACACCCTCCCTGCCTGCCTGCCTGCCTGCCTGCCTGCCTCTGATTAGGATGTAGGGGTTGGGGCACCTGGCAGGAGATCTTGCCTAGCTATCTGCTGGCAGACAGCCTCGGCACCCAGGATCTATAGCTTCAAGCATCACCTCAAAGCTCAGGGCTCCTGAGTCCCAAGCTAACAGAGCCAGGGACCGAGTTTGGGGGCATGAAAAGCTATGGGCATACTGAATAGGGAAGTGGAGAACATGATAGATGGTGATTCATGGTTTCTGTGTAGACAGGAGTACTTGCCAAGAGGAAATCATAAGGCCAGCTAAGACCAGGTGTCAGGAAGAAGGCTCAGCAGCCCCAAAGGAGCCTACCAACCTCCCAAGAGAGTACAGAGGACTCAGGCCAGTCATAGCAAGGGGCTATTTTCCCCAGAGCCTACCCTCAGGCCGTCTTCCCCAGATACTGGTACACTTTAATGTAGTTGTCCCCTGCATCTGCCACCACTAGTTGGCCTTGGGGTGCACAGGCCATACCCAAGGGCCTCTCTAGTCCCTCCAACTGCAAGCAGATAGGTGGCCCAACCCCTGGAAACAGACTGGGCACCCATTGTGGGTCTGTCTGGGCCTGCTATCTGGAACTTGAGGGCACCGAGAGGCTCCTCCTCCTCTCCTGGCAGGGAACTAGCTGGAAGATTCTTGGGGCACCAGCTGAGGCTCATTCCTATTTATTGTCTCCAATAAAGAGCGGAAACAGATTTACCCCTCCTTTTGAAATGAAAAAGGAAAGCATTTACAGAGGCAAAAATGTCTTTCTGGACAGGTTCTCCTATAGCTAGGTTGGTCTCAAAATCCTAGTGTAGCAAAGGATGACCTTGAAGTGTGTGTATGTATATATATAAAAATTTTTTTTTCCGAGACAGGGTTTCTCTGTGTAGCCCTGGCTGTCCTGGAACTCATTCTGTAGACCAGGTTGGCCTTGAATTCAGAAATCTGCCTGCCTCTGCCTCCCAAGTGCTGGGATTAAAGGCGTGCACCACCACCACCACCACCACCACCACCGCCTGGCTTGACCTTGAAGTTTTGATCGTCCTACGGCCACCTTCCGATTACAGATATGCACTACCATTACCAGTCTGTGAGGTCCTGGGGACTGAACACAGAGTCCCGTGCAGGCTAGGCAAGCTCCCTACCAACTGACTACATCCCTAGTCAGAAAAGTGGGGGTAATTTTGGGGGCGGAAGGACGTTGATTTTGAATGTGGGGAAGGACTGGGTTGGTGCCTCTGCTCATCAGCCACAATAATGCTACTCTCTGCATCAGAGCACACACCCTCTGGATGGCCAAAGCTATGCCCAGTCAGGGATCCTAGGGAGCCCAGAGCCTGGTGAGCACTGCCAAAGAGTTGTACATTTCCAAACTCTTCACTCATGGCAAGACCCCCATCAGGCCCTGGACCTACCCAACAAGGGCCCTCCAGACCTAGCATGGTGGTTAGAGCAAGGGGCTTCCAGGTTGGTCCTAACATGAAGCTGGCACATTTCCAGGCAAGTACTCTGTCACCAGGAAGTAGCCAAGAGCATCCACAGCCAGCTCTTGGGGGGATAGGAACATGCCTACAGTCACCCAGCGGCCCCGGGGTTCCCGGGAATTGTACTGGAGAGCATACACAGCCCTGAGGAGGAGGTCACTGACCACCACAAGCCCTGCAGCTGTCACGGCCACATCCTCTGGGACAAAGGCTCCAGTTCTAGGAATGCGGCAGGGTAGTTGACAAATGGCGTGTCCCTCAAGATCCAGCACATGGACACAGGATCCAGCACCAGCCGTCAAGAAGAGCAGGCCATCTGGGGAGCAGTGCAGGCCTCAGGGGCTCCCTGCAACCCCTGCTGGCACCAGGATTTGTCCCAGCAGCCGAGGTTGCCAAGAGCAACTGGCATCTCTAAGTTGGTCCAGCCTGAGATCACGCCCTTGAGAGTAGGCAGCTGGGGATAGGGGTGGTGTGGCCCAGGAGGTCGATTCAGGACAGATGGGAGGCGAAGGGCAGCAAGGAGTCACAGACTCGGCTTCTCTGCAGCTGCAGAAGAGTTGGAACATTCACGTGCAGATGGTGGCTCATGAGTGCTAGCACCCTCCCATTGTAGATGAAGAGCTGAGGTGAGGTGGGAGGTGGAGGGCAAGGCTGAGCTGTATTTGTGTTCATTCCTCTTACTTCTGAGCGTTCACCTGGTCCCAGGCGCAGCAACCACTCAGGTAGCAGTGGTCTGGGAAACACTAGGCACTCAACAGGGACAAAGGTTGAGCTGTAAGGCTCAAATCGCTTGTGTAGCTGTGACTTGGCTTGGGAAGGTGAGGAGAGGAGACAGATAAGCGGCATTTCCCAGCCTTGGGATGACTCCTTCATAGGAATGGCCTAAGTTCCTGTTAGTGTCCCCACCATCACCATCACCACACATAGCCCCTCTGCGTTAGCCAGGGAAACATGCAACCCCAATCTCCCAGGGCTCTCCACTCACCCCTCAACCCTTCCACAGACATCAGGATACTTCTTACCTGGGGCTAACTGGCCTCAGGGCTTTAGGTCAGGCCTCCATTGTTGGAGACAGCTTGAGTGTGTTTGGGGGAATGGGGAGGGTGGCTAGGGGAGGGGTTAGCAGACAAGTTTCCTGCAGGGACAAGTTGTTTGTGCTGAGTCCCAAAGCTCCAGGCCTGTACCCTCTGGCTTGGGTCTTCACATGGGCCTTGCCCTTACCCTGAACACATTGTACTGCCCCTATATAGCTCCATCAGGCAAGCCTGCCCATTCCAGGAGGTACCACAGTCCTCTACAACTATAGGCCACTCCTCCAGGCAGGACATTTGTGTCAGGATCACACCTTGGTCACCCTATTGCCAGCTCCACCAAGAAGTCAAGCTGGTCCTGTCTCTTCCTGTGAGTCTGGTGATACTGCTGACTCTTGGGGTCAGAAAGCAGGGTGGTAGGCACATGGGGATGACTTGAGGAAGGTGCCTCAGATTTAAAACCTGAGGTTTCTGGGACCCCTGGCTCTGCCCTCAGCAGTTCCCCAGGAAGCCTCCAGGTCATTGGTGCCCAGCTAGCTTTTGTCAACCTTGGCCTGCAGCCCCACAGCACCCTGGGCTGGCCAGCCAGAACTCTAGCCCCAACGCTACCTGTAATGCCTCACAGTGGGGTGGCTTCCTGATGCTATCACCAGGTAGGTGGTTAATGGGGCAGCTGAAGGTCCTGTTCGGACTGGCCCTAGCCTGGCCAGTCCAGCCCCAGTGAGAACAGTGCCTCCTCTGAGGGCAGTTTGTACTTCAGGGCATTCCTGGGTGGGCTACAGCCCAGCTCCCCAGGGAGAAGAGTGATTTGCTATGGCTGGGGGGCCCCAGCAGCCCTGGCTGTCTCCCACTCTGGCCTATGGAAGACAAAGCAGGGCTGTACTGGGAAGGGAGCAGTGAGCTGTGAAGGCCACCGATGCCTATCGTAGCTGCAGGGGCTGGCGGGGGGCCCAGGAAGGCCACACGGGGTGACCAGCCTGGAGCCATAGAAGGCAGGAGGCTTTGGCCACCACAGGCAAAGCTGGCATTAGGCTGCTTGGATGGATTCAGGCCCAAGGACGTGCAGGGTCCTTGCCCATCCCCAGTGAGCTGAAACAGGCCAGGTCATCCTGCCATGTCTGCCTCTCTGCCACTCTGCCCTGAGTCCCCCAATTGAGTGTACCCAGGCCACCCCTTGACCCCTTGACCCCAGACTCTTTGGAAGAACCAAGTCCACAATAAGGATTTTTGAGGTCAAAGGCAAATCCCAGCATGGTGTCCAGGACATTTGCTCACTGAGACACTCAGGCCAGGGACATTTCCTTGAGGGTGCCAGGTGCTTATAGAGGGACAGAAAAGGAAAGAGACTCAAGTAGGGGTGTTTGAAGGAGGTTTCTATTTTAATATCCACAATTCTGTTCAATAAATAAATCATGACCTTGCTATGTCCATGAGACCACATAGATAAGTCTCTACCACGGGCTGGTGGGGGATCTGGGCGGGGAGTATCTGTTCAGAACACATGCATACCAACACTGGACGGGCCCGGACAATGGGGCCCAGGTCAGGGGGAGGAACCCATACTCTATGGTGGCTGTGAACAGACGTCAGCACTTGGGAGGATCTGCAAGCTTGGGGTATCTTTAGGGGTCTGGGAGCTGCCAGCTCCAAGACGATTACCCCAGGCACTGCCAGGAATTACAGGGTCCTCAGGGGCCTGGAGGGGGAGGCCAGGAGGAGGGACACTGGAGTCAGCCTCACACTTGGTGGTGCGGTTGGAGAACGGCTCAAGTACAGGGCCCAATATGCTGGAGGGCTCCGAGGTCCCCCTTGCCAACATGGGGCTTGGATCATGCAGCCCCCAGGACTCTGCAGGAGCCTCAGTTCCCTTGGTAGGCACCCGCTTCACTGAAAGGTCCAAGGGTGTGTCCAGTGGACGAGCTGCCCGGGCCAGTGCTTGATGGATGGTGAACAGCTCTCGGCGAATCTTCCCAAGCTGCTCCCGAAGTGGTCTGGGGGCTAGACCCCCAGCTGGTGCCAGCTGCCCCAAGCACTGCTCCACCCTGGCGTAGTCACCAAAGGCCTGGGTCAGGTCCTCTCCCACTGGGACTGAACTTCCTAGCACTCGGCCTTGTGGCTGCTGCAGAAGGTGGACCTCAGGACCTGAGGCCTCGGGGTCACCTGGCTCCTTGTCCTCAGGCCAGAGTATTAGGGAGGAGCCTGTCGGCAGGCTGAGAAGTAGAAGCCAGTCAGAAGGCTATCTTTCCCCTTAATGTCCCCCTAGCCCCATCCTGTGTCTTCTGCTTAGTGTCACCCATACACCAGGGAAAATAAGAGGGCCCAGTCTAGAACAGGACATAGAGAAGAAGAAAAAAAGGACTCTCTGGTATCAAGTCTCTCTGTCCTGAAATCTCTACTCCTAGTGAGTTAGGTGAAAATGGCCTAGCCTCCCACCCAGCCCACCCCTGACACTCCCATGCTAGGACCCAAAGTTCCTGATACCCACCTGCTCTGACAGCCAAATTTTGCCAAGTTCAAGGGGCCCTTTGGGAGCTCAGGCATGTTGCCTGCAGGCAGCCTCTTCTGCAGGTTGCTCTGAGTTACTCGTCCCAGCTCTCCTTCATGCCCTGGGTCTCTGGAAGTGCCATGGGGCCAGGGTCCCCCGGGCCCTGGTACGGGCAACTTCAGCAACCCAGGAGCAGCCAGAGCCCCAGGAGGCCCCTTGAGGGGCACAGAGGACTTTGCAGGGGCAGCAGCCCTGCCTGCTGACTGTCCTAGGTTGTGTTCTAGTAGCAGCGGGTAGTACAGGCGGGGGGCTAGGCCTGGACGCTCAGGTGTCTGTGGGGCTGGGAAGGCTGTGGGGGGCAGCAAGGGGCTTGCTGAGGCCAGGAAGGGCATGTGGGCTGCAGCAGCAGCCAGTGAGGGCCCCAGATAGGAGAAGAGGCCTGGGCCAAGAGGGTAGTTGACACCCAGCAATGATAAGTGGAGACTCTGGGCTTCAGGGAACTCGCCCTGGGCAGGTGGTGGGTAGCAGGGGACACCGCTCTCAGAGCCTGTTGTAGCTATAGTCCCTAGAGCTCCACTCAGCATGCCACCACTCAGTCCTGGCTTCCATGACTCTGCCAAAAGGCCACTGGTGCCTGGACCCTTCCGGATGGGTCTAGCCAGAGGGGACAGTGACCCTGGTGACTCCTCTGGTCCAGGTTTGGGGCCCCTGCCACAACGACGCTGGGAAAAGCTGCCAGTGACAATGATATCTGGCTCAGTTGGCTTGCTGCTAGGGTCAGAGAAGTCTGTGGAGCAGTTGGGGGTGGGCACTCGAGGCCTGGGTGAGGGGGGCGCACGGCGGCATGCCCAGTCAGGGGAGTCTAACAGTAGGGAAAGGGAGTCTTTGCAGAGGCTGTACTTCATGTGGTTGTAAAGATGTGACTTCTCTAGGCAGGTGAAGGGGCACTGGAAGCACTTGTAGTTGTAGGGTTTGCCCCAGGGCCGCGGGATGTAATGTGGCTTCTTGGGCTTCCGTGACCGCGCCCTTGTCCCAGTGCCCATTCGGCATGAACCTGCCTCTCTCGACATGACAGCCTGCTAGCAGGCAAGCCCGGACACCATGGCCACCTGCAGATAGGAAAGACAAGGACCCAATTAACACCAGGCCTTGGCACTCTCTGCTCCTCTTAGTTAGGGGTCCCTGCATCAGAACCCATGAAGTCCCAGTTTGCCTTGCCTGGAGGCCTCTGACCTTTGTTGTGCACACCCTTCATTCTTTTGAGAGGGGATGTGGTGACACTCGCCTGTAATCCCATAGTTTGGGAAGCTGAGGCATGGGGATTGCTCTGAGATCCAGGCCATTCAGAGCTACACAGTGAGATTCTGTAAAAAGAAAGGAAGAAAGGGGGGGGGGAGGGAAAGAAAATGGAAGGACTAGGCATTCTGATCCAGGGCAGACATAGATAAGCTGGTAATGTACGGATGGTCTCGGGAGGACCTAGAGGTCGTTGCTGAGAAAATATTTATAGTTTATCTGAAATTAAGTTTAACTGGATGTATTTTATTTACCAAGTGACCCTGTACAAATCCCCACTGCTGGGTCCCAGCTGGCCCTGCAGGCCAGTTTCGGGGATAATTGGTCTCCGTTTAGCCTCTGCTCTTTGCACCAGGCAGTACCCACTGAGCATTTGGTACAGGAATGAGAGCAGCCATGTGTAGCCAGAGCCACCAGTCCGATGGCCCTCTAGAAACACTTCCTTGGTTGAGCCACCTGCCCCTACCAGAAACTGAAGCAAATCACCGAGATTAGAAATCAACAGAAACTTTGAGATCTGACTAACACTATGTGTGCAAATGTGTGTGAAAGTGCCTGTGTGTAACCCGAGCCGGCCAGTGAAGTGTTGAGTGCGCACTGGAGGTCTCTCAGGGGGGTTCAGACACACATGAGGCAAACCCAGGCTGGGAGGAGTGGATGTCACAGCATGGCCCCATGGCACAGCCACCTGCTCAACCCAGCTCCATCTGGGTGGCTTCAGGCAGGTCAGTGAGTGAGCCTGCAGTGACCGCGCTCAGCCAAGACCCTCTTCTCCTCACGTCCTGCACACTGGCTCAGAAGCTTCTTTCTTCACTCCATCTGGGCCACCACCTGGGCTGTCCACTACCCCAGCACTCGCGCTTGTGCATGGTGCGTGTGCACATAGGCTTTGGATATGTGCATACAAGCGTGCAAGATTCCCAAGGAATCCTTGTTCTATGCCTGGAGGAACAGCTCCTGCATGGTTGAGCTAACCAGCCACAGGGTGTGCCATGAAGGGCACACACATCCATACCACTTCCCACTCAGAATGGATATGCCTCTCCACGAGAGTATACCTACATTACAGACTATGCCCGAAAACACATGAAGACATGGCTGTGACTCACACTTGGTCATAGACTCATCATGGATGCAGACATACATGTGCTGTATGGTTTGAACAGCAGGCATAGAAATGGAAGGCGGTTGTTGAGCTCAGCTCTCTTGCATGCTGGCCATTACATTTTGCCCATCATAGATATTCACTTTTACTCCCACCAAGGATCAGTTGGGTACCCCTTCTTAGGCAGCTAGAAGGGTGAAAAGCACTGTATGCCAAAAGACTGTGAACCACACAGCGAGTTCACATGGCCAGCCTGGGCTCTGGTAATGGCTGGGCAAACAGGCTGAGGGAGACTCCAAGGTTGGGAGGTAGATGCTGGCTCAGGAAAGGGTCGCGCCCTGCCCCCCAGGGGTTGCAGACCCAGCCTGGACTTGGCAAGTATACAGGCAGTCTCTTCTGCCTGCATCCCGTCCCCCCACCCCCGCCTCCTCACCCCCCCCCCTCCGCAAGATATGATGACAGATAGGCATGTGTGCTCAGGCGACAGAGGCGTCTGTGCAGGGGCCATCGATCACCCAGCCCTGGGAGCCACACAGCTGTGCGGATTGGTGTTATCGCTTAAACCCACCTCCCAGCCCAGACTAGGGGGTCCTCCTGGGGCCTTGGATCCAGGGATTGGGGCTCCTCCTGTGCTTTCCTCCAGACCAGGCACCCGAGGTGCTGACCTCTCCAAGACCCAGAGGATGTTGGGCACTGGTCCACCACAGGGCACATCCCTACACTAGCCACACATACACAAAGGCACACTCATCCTGCCCAGCCCCAGCCCCAGCCCCAGCCCCAGCCCCAGCCCCAGCCCCAGCCCCAGCCCCAGCCCCAGCCCCAGCCCCAACTTATGACCTGGCATGCGCTCCCTGGCTGAGCGCCTGGTCTGCAGAACTAATAGCTGGAAGGGCCAGCCCACCCATCCGTTGACCCTCTTGGGACTCAACGTCCTACAGGGATGGGCGCAGGAGCTGAAGTGGACAGCTGGGACCCCAGCACCTTTCTTTTGCCTCCCCGCTGCGGGCGCCACCCTGACGAACCCTCACGGTGCTGAGATCACAAGCAGCCCTTTCCATGCATTCCGTCCAGAGCCAGAGCCCTAACTTCGCGGGAAGTGCCGCCCGCCCACCTTACCGCGTCTGCCGAACCGAGCCTACCGCGTCTGCCAAGTGTACGCCAGGCAAAGGGGCAAACTTCCCACTTGTGAACACTGAGAGATAACTGAGGTCCAGAGTAGAAGCGGTGGCAACTCCCCGATGCCGCCGCCACCTCCCGCGTTCCCCGACGCCGACTCGCAGGCGCCCACCAAAGTTGGCAGAGAAGCGCGTGCGCCACAGCGCGAGCTTCCAAACGCAGCGACCTCCGACCGGGCTGGGCGCGGGAGGCGGGCCAGCCTCAGCGGCAGACGGCTCTCACCTCTTAGCACACCGCCCTGCGCACTCACCGGACTCACTGGGACGGCTCCTGGAGGGAGCGAGGCCGGACCCGCCACAGTGCCGCAAGACCTTGGAGTGGCGCGCAGGTGCGGGACCGAGTGAGGGGCGCCTGGCACCGTCCCCGCCCCCGACGCCTGCAGGCTGCCGCGGGGGTGCGCAGAGGCAGCCAAGTCTCCCGGGTCCCCGCAGCGGCAAGAGGGGGCGTCAGCACGCATCAGTCAGGGCTCTGGCCCCTGACAGCCGCCTGCCCACCCAAATCAGGGCCTCGGGGCTGAACCCTAGGACAGGGAGCCTCCGGAGCGGACCAGGAGAGACCAAAGCCCAGAGGTCAGGCGGTGGAGTCTGTATGTCTTTGCCAACTTCCACTGGACAAGCCAGAGAGCCTGTGTAGTAGTTCCTTTACTCCAAACAGGAGGCGTCTCCCACACCCTTTGCTCTACCTGCTGATGGTCACCACGCACTGACACCCCTACCCCTGGACACATACCACTCCCAGCCCTCACTCTCCACTTCCTAGGAGGTTCCTCCCTGCTTCAGGAGAGATCCAGTGCCAGTGCCCATCATCTGAAGGGCCTCATCCCCACTGGTGGCTTCTCCTGGAAGGGCTCTGGGGTGACAAAGGACCCAGGAGGGTTTGGAATGCCGTCCACACAGTGAATGCTGGAACTCCCTTCCCTTTAATGTCTTTGTGGTCAGAACTGCTCCTGGGTTGTCAAAACTTAACATCTGGGCTTACACTTCTAGCCAGGTCCCAGGGAAATTTGCCTAATTGGTGAGTTTCAAGGGTGCATGTGGACATGGCATGGGTAGGGACAGATAATCTCTCTCTCTCCCCCCCCCACTCTCTCTGTGTCTATCTCTCTCTGTCTTTGTCTATTTCTATCTCTGTCTCTCTGTGTCTGTCTGTCTCTGTCCCCCTCCCACCCCCCCAGTCTGCCTGTGACTGGGGAGGATACTTTAGCCCAGAGGTGGTGTGCTGAATGGCACTTTAAGCGAAGGGTGGTTATTGCCCCAGGCTTGCCCTATGGAGGCAGAGGTCAAAAGACTCTTGGGAACCTAAGACTCTTCCAGACTCACTACTGGTTCCTGGGATTTCCCCAGTTGAGATTTGTGGAAGAAGTGAAACCTCTCTAGAGATTTTGGGGTTGGTATATAGGGCAGTCATAGGGTTCAGGGCAGCAAGCGTTCAATACTTCTGGCTCCATATCTGTGTGGGAGACATAATGGCCAGGGCCCAGCTGTTAGCTAAAATTCAAGGCAGGAGCAGGGCCTCTCCAGTCTAGTTTCCTTCTGTCTCCATGCCACCTTCCTCAAAGGCAGCCCACCCCCAACTGAGGGCCATCCAGAGCTGGAAGTGGTGTTACGGACTGCACAGCATTCTCCTTCCTGCCTGCCTGGCCCAGCTAACCAGCTGACCATGCAGGTGGCCTGGGGCTGGGCAACAGCTTGAATGGTCACTGTGCCAGTAGTCCTGGGGCCAGAAGACCAGCTCCTCATGGGCACTAACTAGAGATGAGAGCAGACTCGGGTCACTTGGAGACAAGGAGAGTGGGGACACTAGGCATGCGCCCTTTATTCCCTAGGACAGCTCTACTCTCTAGCCATCCTCTTTCTGGGAATTAGGGAAGAGTCTGTCTGACAATAGGGGCAGGCTGGAGGTTGTGGCCACTGTCCAGAGAAGGCCTGGCTCCAGCATTCAGGGAGTAAAGCCTGGTGTAGCTCAGGTGACTGAGGCTATGGTCTGTGGAAGAAACCAAGAGGCATGCCATGTGGCATCTCACTTATGAGGTGGACAGCCCTGGGGATGATCACTGCCTCAGCCAGCTCTATGGAGGCCCAGAGAAGGGAGATGGCCAGAACACGCTGATGTCCAGAATGGGAAAAGCAGGAGGGAAGTGCAGGGACCCACATGCCCAGTGGTATCACCTTTCACAGGCCTTTTAAGAAATTTGGGTGAGAGGAAACCAAATCAAAAACAAAAAGACAAAAAAACCAAAACAACCCTAAGGTATCTTTTTCCCGGACATATTTTTGTGCTTCCTAGAAGGAGGAACTCCTGAGCTCCAGGCTTGCTCATGGAGGTCCGGAGTGTTCTTGGCAGACCCCCACCTTCTACCTAAGGGGCTCACAGGCAGCCTCTCACGATTGTCCTTTCCTCTCCCCCTCAAATGTTGTCTCTTCTTGGCCCTTCTACCCAACCCTTTGGGGGGTGGAGACCATAAGCTCTAGGAGATGGCTCCAGCTCCTGATGGGTGGCTGAGACCCCATAGCTTTGTGTTTGGGCTTGTCAGTCTGAACCTGAGACCCTGCCCACATTCCCTAAGCAGCAGCCCTCTCTGCTCTAGAGAGAGCCCCTAGTCTTAGGCCACTCCTGGCTCTCATAAGGGTCCTTCACTAGACCAGGGGCCTAGTGTTCTCTCCTGGTGGGGGACTTGCCTTTACCCTCAGCTGGAAGCTTACCTATTTCAGTCATTAACCTTCTCTGCTTGATCTGCCCATGGCTGCCCGCCTGTCACCTCCATTAGCATTGGCCCTGTGCATGCTGGGGGCTTGTGAGCTGGACGAAGATTCTGGACTCTGCACTGTCTCATTCCCTCAGTGTTGCAGCCCTCATCGAGACAGGTAGGGGTTTGACTGGGGGTTATCCACTGTGGGCAGAGGGACAGTGGATTGAGCCAGACAGGGTCTAAAGCTGGTGCAAGAGGGACTCCACGGAGTGGTGGCAACTCTGAAGCTCTAGAGGTCTGTGCCACAGTTGTACCACGGCTCATTTTGCACCTTTTGAGTAAAAGACATATGGCAGCATCCAGAGTCCATATGAAATCCCCATTCCAGAGAGAAAGAGCTATCCTTGGGGTTTCGCCTCTCTTGTACATTTGAAGTGTCTTTGGGGACTGTAGGCTGGCTGAGGACTTGAGTGCAGAGATGGGATCATGCCTGAGGTTCTGTACCAGCTGGAGGCTGCAGGTCTGGATGGCCCCAGGAAGCCACAGTGTAGGAGTACACAGTAAAGGAGGAGAGGCAGCAGGATCTTTAGACTATGTAGGGAGAGCAGAGGCTCTGGAGGGTAGGATGTGGGTGGGGCCCATAAAGGGGGCATAGAGAAGCCTGGGGAATCTCCCTGGGCTCTGAGCAATCTATTCCTGGACATGCTGGCTTATCCAACAACCTGGATTAGGAAAGGGTTGCCATTTTGTACTGAGCAACTAGATGGGTGAGACTTCAATATTCCCTGAAGGATCTGAGCCAGGTGTTTTGTGTGTGTGTGTGTGTGTGTGTTGGTGGTGGTGGTGTTTGTAAACTCCCTTTCATGGGAGCATTCCAGCTGGACAAGGGTAGCTTCCTTTAGAGGGCTTAGGGAGCAGCCGGCCTGTCCAGGTGGGTGGGAAAAGCTCAGGCTGCCAAGGCCCCCACCCGGTCTCTGAGCCTGGCACTGGTTGAGCCGTGCCTGGGGCCGACAGCAGCCATATGTTGGGAAGTGGAGCTGTGTGCGTTGCTCTGCGGCCCCCGGGGCCAGCCTTCCTGGGCCTGTCACAGATGATTTTCCCTGCCTGAATGGCAGGCAGGATGGCGGGTGGGGCAGTGGGGGCCCGTGAGCTGGCCCTATGTTCAGGCCCTCTTAACACTAGGCTTTGTACCACTCTTGGAGTAATCCAAGAGCTGAGCCTCAGCTTTGAAGTCCCCAGAGTTTCACTGAATAAACCCCGTGGTAGGTATGTACCCCTTTTAACTCAAAGTTGGGGTTCAGGAGATTTCTAGTTGGTCAGCAGGCACCTCCTGCCTGGTTGTGGGTGGTGGCCAGGGGTCCACACCAGGCTGTTGTGTGCCCCGGGCAGGTAGAAGAGGGCCGGGAGCTGCAGGCCTGTCAGCCCAGCGCCCAGAGCTCTGCGCAGGGAGGCAGGGAGGCCATGGCTAATTTGTACACTAAGTGCTTCTGACAGGGATGCCTCGCAAGTGAGAACATGCCACTGCCCGCCCTGGGAAGGCCACAATGGCTAGCAATGAAGACAGTAGGCCCAGGAGAAAGGACCAGAGGGACACAGGGCCAATGAGGACCAGGAATTTGAGGAAAGGCAAGAACAGGTTGATGGCTCCTGGGACTATCAACACAGAAGCATGAAGATGAGACAGACACACAGACAAGGGGAAACGAGCCTTACAACTTCCATGTCCACAGTGCGAGTCACTAGTCCTTCTGCTTTCTTGGGTTTGTGACCTCCTGCACAGGGCACAGGACAGTCAACCCACGTCTAGCCTAGCCTGCTGACAATAGAGGGTAAAGTCCGCTTTGACCAGTCTGCCTACCTGGCTCCTTTAGGTCTCTTACCCTAACCAGAATCAAGCAGCCTTTTGAGGAGACCCAGGTCCCTCCCAATACTAGTCCAAGAGTTTTGCTTACGTGTACAACTCCTCTCTGGATGCCTCTTTGCTCTCTCTTCCCCATATGCTGGGGTCCACAAGGAGGGGAAAGGAAAGGTGTTTGCTGAGACTAACCAGAGCAGATGAGCATGCAGTGGCTGGACCTCCATCTTGCCCTGAGAAAGTCCTGGCCTGTCTCTTGAGTTGTTCTGGGGCTGGAGTTGCAGAGGCCAGTACCACACTGTGTGCCAAGTGACTAGGGCAGAGGAAAGGGGTCTCTAGAGAAGCTGGTCTTTGGCTGCCAAAGATGCCCAGAACTGGCTCCTGCCATAAGTACACATAGGGATACGTCTTGCCCCTCCACTGTGAGAGAAGGTCCAGCCTGGTGCGCAGCCGCATAGGGGCAGGGAAGGCGCTGTGGGCGTCGAGGTGAGATGTGTTGTGGCAGCTGCCCCGCTGCCCGAGGCCCGCCCGGAGCGAACACTGCTGGTGGCTTTAATTGCTTTCACATTCGATGGGCTGGCCTGTGACAGGCCTCTTACGCAGTGCACTCCGGCCGTGAACCCCCAGCCCCCGCTTGCCCAGGGGCATCCTCCAGCTCCTGAAGGAGCCTGGGCTGCTGGCCAGAGATGGGCTGAGCAGCTTAGCGTCACCTGTGATATGAGATGGGCCCAGGCTGCACCAAGCTGGGAGGGGACACAGCACACCAGCCAAGAAGAGAGCAGCAGCTCCAGCCCCACTCGCCCCCTGGCTCCATCTGCTCCTTCTTGGTGACTGATGGATTTAGACAGCCTTCATCCCCCCAGTGCAGACAGGGAAAAAAAAAAATACTCGCACACACATTGTCCTGCCTACCATGCTGGTCCTACCTGGCTGTGGGGCTCAAACCCCAGGGACAGGCTCCAGCCTCTGTCACACCTGTATACTCACTAGTTCTTGAGGATTCTGGCGGGGTCATAGGCAGAAGCAAGAACTGTCACCTTACAACCCATAGTATTCCTCTAGAGTTTATCCAGGAGACCCCTACCCTGGCCTTCGGAGCAGCCTGTTTGTGTGTGTGTAGGTATTGGAAGGGTGACAACAGATTGCAAGCTCCTTACAAAACAAAACACTTTTATTTGGTCCTTGGAGCCTGAGTGGAAATGGCCTGTGGGGTGCATCATCGAACAAGGAAGGGACTGACAGCTGATAAAATAGTCTCTGTGTTCGAAGAGCTGGTCCTATTT